ATTAAGAGCCACCATGGATTCATTATATCCATAGAAGTACATAGGGCATAGCAAAATTTCCAAATCCATCCTGTTTGTGCCACACACAACTGTGATATCAGAGTTGTCTGTCAAATAAAAGGAAAACAGTTATCACAATATCTCTCACGATGTTGGAAAATCGTTTAAGCTTTTTATGCTGCGAGGACATTTAAAACCACAAGAAGTAAGAGAAGGACACCTTGTTAAAATAATACTGCATGTTTAAGAAAATGCACTCCTCAAATTGCTGGGTGGTCTCGAGTTCCCTTGTGGTTCCAAAGGAACTGAAAGATGAGATAGTGAAGAGAGAATTAAGGATGAAGAGGAGGAGGACGTATGCTTTGACTGACCTGGGTCTCTGAATGTGGGGTGGGTGAGGCAGGGACTCTGAGCCTCCGACTGAAGAATCAGGACAAGCTGACACACTAGGAGGGCAGGCCACATGATGCTCTGGCTGCAGGGAAAATCCCACACATCACATTATCACCTTGACCTCCATTCACTCAAAAACAGATTTTAAAAGCAAAAACAGACACTTACTTTCAGATCAGGCTACGGGTTGTCTGTTCTGTGTGCAGGTCTCACCGACAGACACTGAATGTTGCAAATCAAGTCAATCTGATGTCACTGGCCACACGTTTTTTAATGAAAGAGCGAGTCAACAGACATATATATATATATATATATATATATATATAGATAGATAGATAGATAGATAGATAGATAGATTACTTGTTTGTTTTTCCTTTAATAATTACTTTTCATAATGATAACCTATTATATGTATTTATTATTTGTGTTTTACTTTTTAAATATAATGTTAACGTAATATAATGTTTATATTATTTTAACATAATATAAAAAAGAATATAAAAAGTACATACATACAAATAAACGTTATTGTTTATTAAATGTAAAGAAAACACAAATAAGTAAAACTATTACATCATAAAAAATATAAGCAGTAATTACAGTAATTTATGTAAAAGACTAATATTTAAACTACAAATAAATAAAGATCACGATTCTACCTTGTTCACCTTCTCTCTTTCGCAGTCTCTTTTCTCTATGTTAATGACGATATAGCTAGGCTATTTATACTGGCCCGTTTCTATCTATAGGTGTGAGGGAGGGCACCAGAAACAAAATGCTGGGGTTATGAGAAATTCGGGACACTAGAGGAGGAACACGAGGAGCTCTGAGAAGACCATAAATTCAATATCAAGTGACATGTTTGGAGTTATAGGAGCATCTCGCTGCTTATGTAGCTCTAACTGGGCTTTTGCCATTACTTAAATCTATAAATGCATTTTATCAGGCTGCTCTTAACTGTGCTATTATGATGCATCATGCAACAAATATGTCCGCTTGAAGATGGAAGGTGGTCATTGTAATAACATTTTTACTAATTTATCATAAGTACATTTTTGAATGGTCATATCTCCTCATTTGATGATAGAAATGTTGTTGTTTTTTCATTAAAATTAAAAAAAAAGGAAAATTACATAAATTATTTAGTATGAAAAATAGGATAACCAGATAATTGGAGGATATACACGCATTCTTTTTTCATATTCACAAAAGTATGATAGAATCCAATCCAAATTGTAAATAACTATAGTAATTTCAGCACATTATATATATATGTTAATTGAATGTAACTAAGAGCGTCGTGTCTTTCGTAAGCGGTGTTAGTTGTCTAATCTATTCATATTATTTTTCATAAAATACGCATACAATATCCTTTTTATTTAGTGTAGGTGGTTTCAGATGCGTCTTCGTGAGAAAAGGTTTCCTCTCCTCATCCTTTTTTAGAAATAGATATCCCACCTTTTCGAACAAAGCCTGACTTCGTGTGTAATTTCAACAAAGACACCCCCTTCTTAAAACTACATAAGAAAGGAACAATGTATTACATGATCTTCTACGACACTGTCCGTCTGGCTATCTGGTTCCCTCCTCACATGGCTTCATTTTTAATCTTCTGGACCAGACAACGTATGGACCCTAATACCATAATATGTCGGCTTTATACCTGAATTTTCCTTTGCAAAATAATATCCTAGAAAAAAACATAGGTAATTATATTCCACAAATACTTATTTGGTTACTTGCTGTGCGCCACATGCATTTATTCAAGACCAAATGTCAAAACATGATCATGTGGATTCTTCTCAGCATTCTCTCTTTGCCTGCAGGGGAGTCATGATCAAATCATCTCCCTCCATTATATGTCCCAGTAACACAAGCCGGATGAAATCACAGTGGACAAATCGTACAATACGGTGTACAAATATCCTGATTTCACTATTAACAAGAGATTACCTCAGAAAGGCCGAATTTTATCTCCCAAACAAATTATTACCACGGGTTAACCATAATTGTGGAAAAACATTTTCAACCAATTGATTTAATTGATTACATAAGTAGGTTATTTCATTTGTTTTATGATTATGTGATAATTTACTATAGGCTACATAATCTTTGACTCATGTCTTTTTATTTATATATCGACAAATAAGAAAATACACCTTCCCCACGAGCCAAAATGATGGGCGTGTGTGCCACTAAACACTATCACATGGGCAATGGATATAAACTCTCTATCAAGGTAATATTTCATTTTATATTAAAGGGTTAGGTCACCCAAAAATCGCTCACCCTCATGTCGTTCCAAACCCATAAAAGCTTAAGTCATCTTCGGAACTCAAAATAATATATTTTTGATGAAATCTGAGAGCTGACTGCAAAACTGCAGTTCACGGCACTCAAGTTTGTTTAAGCTGTGGGTTGTTGTTCTCTTACGAATGGTTATCTCGTACTGCGTAATATCTTGTGCTCGGGGGGAAAACCTATTTTCCACGAGATATTGAAGCCAAAAATTATTATTAATTTTGAGCGCTGCGGCAGCATGCAGACATAGGCAAGACAGCTTGCGTGCCTATTGGCTGTCCTGCGGCAACTGCAGCAGCCTATCGAGAGAGGACCTTGGTGACGTCAGATCCAATGGGGGAGCTTCGCGCCCACTACGTCACCTCCCGCCTTGATCAGATTTTTCATCTCTTCAGCAACGCTCACGCATCGCTGGATCCGGAGTGAAGTAGCCGCGCGGTCTGAGAAAAGCTTTTTGCGGGACGAGCTTTTGACGAGAAATTTATGGCAGTCAACAATGCGCTGAGGCGTTTTTGTCCCCGAATAAAAGGGCACGACGTCTTGGTCCGCTTAGACAACATGTCAATGGTGCCCTACATAAAAAATCGCCAGGGTGGTGTCAGGTCCCGAAACCTTTCCAGGCTGATGGAATGCCTCCTGGTCTGGCAGCACATGTGCCTGGTCACCTGAATTTGGGACCAGACAGACTGCCCAGAAACAATGTTCCAGCAGGGGAATGGTCTCTGCACTCGCAGACGTTCCTACTGCTGTGGGAGACATTCGGCAGAGCGCAGGTAGACCTGTTTGCGTCCAAAGTTTTTCTCCAAGACCAGGGATGCGCTGGCCCACGTCTGGCCCCACTGCCCACTCTATGCTTTCCCCCCGTCGCGCTCCTACCTCAGGTATTGGAACGAATCAGGGAAAATGGATGCACAGTGCTACTTGTGGCTCTACTCTGGACAAACCAAGCTTGGTTTCCAGTTCTGATGCAGCTAACAAGTGCTGCCCCATGGCCAATTCCAACGAGGAAAGGCCTCCTCTCTCAGGCCAAGGGCTCGATTTGGCATCCTTGCCCGAAGCTGTGGTCCCTCTACGCGTCGGCCATCAACGGGTACCCGCAAACCTCCCGGAGGGAGTGTTAAACACGATCATGCAGGCTAGAGCCCTGTCTAATATTTCTCAAAATGGTCTGTGTTTTCTGGCTGGTGCAAAGCTTGAGGCTTTTCACTTCTAGACTTCGGGGTTACGGAAGTTCTCTCCTTCCTTCAAGAGCTACTGGATAAGGGCAGAACCCCAAACACCCTCAAGGTTTATGTGGCTGGCCGATCTGGTCATCCGGTTCCTTAAAGGAGCTAAAAGGCTGAATCCTCCCAGACCTCCCAGACCTTTCCATGGTTTTGGAAGTCAAAAGGTCCCACATGGGAACTCTGACTCTGCATTCTGACTGTGCATTTAACTCTTTTCAATCGACATAACAGGCCTATTGCTTAATGTATAAATGCATCAAAACTATAATTTTGTAGAATTTGTCAAATGATGTTCAATTATCAATGTTTCATCAGTCCACAACCAAGAGAATTACTAAATGAAGAAGACTTTACTATTCTACATGAATCAAGGTGATTTTGGCCTTTGATCATAGACTTTTAAGTGTCCCACATTAGGAAGCTGCAGATTGTCTCATAGGACTTGCACCTAGAGCACTAATGTCTGTTATATTTTATGAATTAATTTTATCTGCATTTTACTTTTGATTTGATTTGATTAGGACACATCCTGGTTTTTTTTAATGGTATTGGGTGCAGATTTAGATGGCTACAAATCGCGAAATGTCACAGTTGTCTGAAATGCAAAAAATTTCCCATAGACCTACCTATATCGTAATTTAGTAATTCTATACTCAAACATTCATATGCCTATATGAATTACCTAAATTCTTAAAGAAATTTAAGTAAATATTGTTTTGGTTCCTCAGTTATATACAGTCGAATATTCAAATAAATAAAAACATGAAACGTGTGAACCAAGTAAATCTACAATTAAGTAATAAACCTACAATAAAGTCATAAATAATGACAGTGCTTGTTTTCTTCCCTCCAACAGCTGCCTGTTGCTATGGTTACGACTTCTGTTCGCAAGACCAGCGTAAAGTTTCGCAGATTCTGCAACGTTGTTTAAAAATGCTGTGTATTTACATTTAAACCATTAGAATCAATAATACCGCGCAAACGCACTTTTTGTGCTGCTTTACGCGCCTTTCTAATGCGTTCATGTCCTCCATATAGTAATAAGCTTCATATTACTTGGCAGGAACACTCGCAAATCTGGTTGTTGTTGCCATTAACCAATATTTATTTGTGGTAAATGGCAGGGTAATTATGAAGAAACATTCAGGCATAAGACATTTTTTCCAGTATGAATACAGTACAGCAAATTTTTATACAAGAAATCAATAAAAACCAAAGCCACAGTGTTTCCTTCCGGTAATTTGAGTTAACACATGACGATCATATGCCATAACAGTACAAGTGTTCACGTGCAAAAACGATCAAACATGAACAACCTCAGGTGAATGTTGGTGTTATACAGATGGAAAGAACTGTGTGTGAGTCTGTGTGTGTGCGCTCTTCCAGAGCTGCGTTTCGCTCCAGATGAACCAGAAGTCCCCTCATGCGGACATCAAACAACAACAGTGGATGGTTTTCGTCTTCCATCCTTAAGGATGAGAGTACAGTCCATCTTGTTAGTTCACTTTCACTTGGAGCTGGTGTATTTGGTCACGGCCTTAGTGCCCTCGGACACGGCGTGTTTGGCCAGTTCTCCCGGCAGGAGCAGGCGCACGGCCGTCTGGATCTCCCGGGATGTGATAGTGGAGCGCTTGTTGTAATGCGCCAGGCGCGAGGCTTCTCCGGCGATGCGCTCGAAGATGTCGTTTACAAACGAGTTCATGATGCCCATAGCTTTTGAGGAGATGCCGGTGTCCGGGTGGACTTGTTTCAGTACTTTATACACGTAAATGGCGTAACTCTCTTTCCTGGTCTTACGCCTTTTTTTATCCCCTTTCTTCTGGGTCTTGGTGACAGCTTTTTTAGACCCCTTTTTGGGTGCGGGCGCTGACTTCGCAGGTTCAGGCATTGTTTCGGTTTTTCACAAAAGCTCAACTGTCACAGAATCGTTGTGGTATACACGAACTGCGCATATTATCACTGGCCCTTATTTATAGAGTCGGCATGCAAATAAGAGCGAGCACAGCCTCAGTTTCGATAGGACGACTTCCTAACGTCATGGACCGAATTCTGAGTGACGATTGGCTGGTTTCTGTAGAGTGAATCGATCCAATCAGAGCACACATCCGGGTATATATACCAATCCCTGCTTACATCACAAGCGAAAACGCATTTGACTACCAACGCTAAACAGGACGATACATACAAGCCAAACAGGCGGTTCTTTTGTTGTCAAAACATGTCTGGAAGAGGTAAAACCGGTGGGAAGGCCCGCGCAAAGGCCAAGTCTCGTTCATCCAGAGCCGGACTTCAGTTTCCAGTCGGACGTGTGCACAGATTATTACGCAAGGGAAATTACGCTGAGCGCGTAGGCGCAGGAGCCCCCGTGTATTTGGCCGCTGTCCTGGAATACCTAACGGCTGAGATCCTCGAGCTGGCCGGAAACGCAGCCCGAGACAACAAGAAAACGAGAATCATTCCCCGTCACCTGCAACTAGCTGTCCGCAACGACGAAGAGCTCAACAAGCTTTTAGGTGGCGTTACCATCGCTCAGGGCGGAGTGCTTCCAAACATCCAGGCAGTGTTGCTGCCCAAGAAAACCGAGAAGCCTGCCAAGAGCAAGTAACAGGCCTTTACGATCACGGACAATGACACGCAGCTCCGCTCGTTTGAGTTCAAGCTATCTTATGTTCCCTTCGCGTTATACTGTTTTGTTTTAATGAAGACGACAGCAGCATCTTGTTGTAAACTTTGATTTCGTATTATTTTTCTAATGTTGATCGCTCTTTTGGACGGAAGCACCCCCTCACACAAGAAGAGATCTGCACCACCACTGGTTCTTAATGGCCATGGGACATTTAACCTGCCATCACGGTGGACTAAAGAACCTCCATTTGCGGGGTGAACGAACATCAGTGACGTTAGTTTATTGTATATGGACATTATGTTGGTTACGTTTTATTTGTCACCGCTTTAAATTACATGCGAGTCGTGTTCTTTATCTGCTGTTCAGTGGTTATGCTGTTTCAATAAATGTACAGTGCCAGTGGAAGGCACAAAGAAGCAGTGATTTGTTGTTTTTCTCGAAGCCGCATTGTGCTGCATTGTCTAAAATAGAAGCCCTAATTAGAACTACAGCATAAAGAGAGCACTTTTTATACATTAAGATATTGATAACATCCTTAAAAATTAGAAAACCCTTTAAAATTATGTAAATATATGAGTTGAAGATATAAAAAAAAACAAAAAACATTGGCATAACGTCTCCTCTTGGAGATCACCGTGTTGACATCACATGACCATGACATGTCACACAACGAGTTATTGACAATATGGTCACCAATGCCTTACTGTGCTTTACAGTTAAAACTTTAAGTATCCGAGCAACATATTTACTCCGTTAAAGTTACAATACTATAATTGTGCTGAAGTAAAGAAAATAATCTGACCACCACAAATAAAACCCCATATTATCCATTATATAATTATTCATACCATTAGCTGTATGCTAATTTACACATTCTGGGCAGTTTCTGAGAATGGAGGTAAAAGTTACACAAACAATACACACCTCTGGTTTTTCACAGACAAGACTTAAAGATGTAGTTCACTTTAAAAAAATTTTTTTTGCTGATAATTTACTCACCCCCATGTCATCAAGGTGTCCATGTCTCAGAAATTAAGGTTTTTGATAAACATTCCAGGATTTTTCTCCATATACTGGACTTTACTGGGAACCAAACGGTTCAAGGTCCAAAAGACAGTTTCAGTGCAACCTGTTCAAAGGGCTTTAAACGATTCCAGATGAGGAATATGGGTCTTATCAAGTGAAATGATCACTCATTTAAAAAAATAACAAACAAACAAAAACAAAGTTTAAGTTTTATAAGCTCAAATGGTTTTTATAAGCTTGCTCTGTTCTGTGAGGCGCGTTCGTGACTCTCCTGTTCGAACTTGTTAATCAAAATGAACGAACCTTTTCCCCGAGTCAACTTGTTTATTTCGTTCAGCCAAATGACATGAAAAAAGATTCGTTCATTTTGATGGACGAGTTCGAACAGGAGAGTCACGAACAGAGCAAGGCGACCACTTGAGCTTATAAAACTTAAACTTTGTTATTTATTTTTTAAATGACCGATCATTTTGCTTGATAAGACCCTTATTCATCGTCTGGAATCGTTTAAAGCCCTTTGAACAGTTTGCACTGAAACTGTCTTTTGGGACCTTGAACCGTTTGGTTCCCATTTAAGTCCATTATATGGAGAAAATTTTGGAATGTTTTCATCAAAAACATTAATTTCTTTTTGGCTGAAAAAGAATGACATGGATATCTTGGATGACATGGGGGTGACCTTACCCGTATGTATTTTCAATGGCATATTATACACCCACGAGAATACTTTATTACTTGAACGAAGTAAATATACATTAATGAGCACCTATATTTTTGAAAGAACCTAGTGTTTTTAGCTAAGAATAAACTAAAAGAGTTACACAGTGTAGCTTTAAGCTAGTTCTGGACTAAAATGCATGCATGTTTGAAGCAATTTGCATCTTTAAATATGCCATTGTTTTGTCTCAAGATGCACACCAGTATTTTTTTTTCTTTTTTTTTCTGAGCCACATTTATAAAAGCTAAGCTAAAGCAATTGAAACCTGGCTGTATCTAAACCCTTTCAGTGACACCAGTCCAAAATGTTTCTTAACTTGTGAACACTGCTGTAGCCTGTTAAAAGGACAGTGATGGAATGGCTTTTTTGGGGGTTATACTTCAAAGACTCAATAAATGGTGCCATTTACCAGTAGTAACAATTTAAAGGATTAATAATTGACTAATTAGAGAAGTGCAAATATCAATAAAAACAATCAAATTTTTTATATATATATATTTATATACACAAATTAACACACACTAAAGATCTATTAGCTAAAGGATTATGCTGGGTTTCATGTCATGCTGAAGCCATTGTTAATTAGACTTAAATCACATAAATAGATCAACACCATTTAACATATTTGAAACTCTTTTATTGTACGAACATAACCCTTGTTATGTTACAGCCTTCATGAATGAGTATTTAATGGAAAAGAAAATGCGTCCACAGAATTCACATCTGTAGTGTGCTTAAGACTACTAAAAGTGTCTAGTTGTATTTACATCAAAAAACTTTGAAACAATTTTGTTGTGGCATTGTTAATAAATACAAGTGCTTCATAGCCAAGATGACCAGAACTTAAAAATTATTTTACAGGCAGCAAAGAAATTAAGAACCTTGCATTTATTCAAGCCAACAAAAATAATAATTCCCCTCTCAAATCATAATGATGCATGGTGTTCAGAAGTGGCAAATAGATGAAATATTATAGTAAATGTAAAAGTGAATTAAATAATTTTTTCAACAGAATTTGGAATATAGCGATATATAATCTCAATTTTTTCTCTGACTTTAAGCCTCTTTCTCTGCGTACCCTTCGGTTTTCATGTCATTGAGGCCCAAGTCTTCGTTCTGCTCAAAGGTCCTGGTGTACTTTTCAATCTTCATTTCTGGATCTGGATCTGGGGCATAAACATTCTGCAAAAAGGAGTCGGATTGTTAGCCTTCACATAAAAAGAACAAGATATAGATCCAAATGTTGAAAATCACATAATTGAAGACATTAAATCTGAAGCTTAACCATAAGATCCTTTAAATAAAACAATGTTTTATTTAGTATTATTTAAAAAAAAAAGTTCTAGCCTCACCTGAATATAACTATTGCCTGCTGGATCGTCCAGGATAACGTGCACATCCATTTCCCCCGCCATTATCTAAGAAACATTTAGTAAAAAAAAAAAAAAAAAACATTCACACACAAAAACAAAAAAAAAGTTCTGTCATATATTATTTTTTATAAATACGTTCCTTATTGAAAATATTGTCATTGCATTTAACAGTAAAGAAGAGTAACAGAAATGCTAGTAATACAGTATCATTCAAACCTTGTCAATCTTTTGCCCAAAAAGCTCCAGTTTCCCTGCTCTATCCGCTGTAAAGCTGTCTCCACACATGAAGGGGTTTTTTGAAACAATCTAAAACAAGCATAAAATTAGCATAAAAGAGGCTGTTTGTCGATAACAACCAAAGCCGTTAGCTGGTCTTTGATTCCTACCAGATCTTTAATGTCCTTGAGAAGTCCTTCCAATGTAGTGAACTTCCCTCCGACAGCCGCCATCCCCAACTCAAACTCCAGCTCGGGAATCAACACGCTACATGTCTCTGACTGTTACATACAAACATTACACATGAATCATGAAAAGGTCGAGTATACACACATTAGTGTCACAGGGAGCCAACCCCACCTTCAGCAGGTCTCTGGACATATCTGAAGGGTCTGTTAAGTGGAGAGTTATTCTGGTTCCCTGATCTTCTGTGGCTCCTCCTGATTTCACCTATTTAATGATGTCAAGTCAACAATAAATTCTAGACCATAATACAAGAACAGCACAAAAAAAACATAGCATGGTTTATTATTCTCACCTCATTGGTGCGATGTCCACAGCTGTCGCAATTAGTGGCCATTATAATGACCTCTTTAAAGTGTGGAATTTCTGCAATTGGGTTAAAGGGACCAATAAACTGCTTTCTTTAAATTATGACCCACAACTGTTAGACTGATATCTCCATGCACCATTTTATGCAGTGCCATATTCAAAAGAATATAACACTAAAATGCTAGCGGAACTTAGCGCTGCCAATTTTAGCCACAACTTGAAATGAAAATCTCCAAGGGCTTCCATGGTACAAAGGTTTTTGAATGAATTTTAAACGAATGAATTAATGAGCACAAGAGACAGAATGTGTAATGTAACTTTTAGTAGTGAAGCGGTTTTAATATTAATGTTTCTTTGCGCACAGTTTTGTTTCCACCTCAAAAAAGTCTCGATCGTGATATAAGTTTTTGGTCATATCGCCAACCCCTACTTGCTACCATCA